TTCCTTCATGTTCTGTTAGCTTAACCCTCGCTCTTGTACTCCTGTGGAAAACCCTTGATCTCTTCTGTGCTGATCTCCGGTGAGGCTAGGAGGCCAAGCGAAGCCCTCACGAGCATACTAGAGCAGTGGGCCGAGAAGGGAGCTTCCTGGGAATCTGTGCGAGACTGGTGAGATCGAAAGCGCTAGCGCTGTATTCTCTCTCGTGTGTAGCCAATCAAATCTCACGCTATCATCTTATTCAAAATTTTATATAAAATATCACCTCTTTTATTATGGTTTGCTTTATTAACCAAAGTTTTTTTTTAAAATAATTTAAATCTAACTACAGGCGACGTCTAAGTAGCAAAGCACTTTAACTCCTACTGTAGCGGATGCGCTGCGGAGTGCGGGTGGGCACTTTACAGTGTCCTCTTCCTCTCGGACAGGACAACACGTAGACTGCAGCGGCGTCGTCTGCGCTGTGCCTGCGTCGCGTCACGCGTGCCCGGAGCTACCGTGCTGGCCGCGACATGCGCTACAGGACAGGTGTTCCGGACAAGCACGCGGCGGCAGCTAGTAGCGCACGGCTTTCCATAGGAGTAACATGCATCAGTGCCGCCTAGGAGTAATGCGTTTCCATGCACCCGTGTTTGTCTTCTTCCTTCTCTACCTGCGTGGCTGCGTTGCCACCAGTCCACGACCCACCACCATGGGTGTTGTTGGCAAGGGGCACGACCGCACGACAGATCCACGGGAGGCGGCCAGCGAGAATGGGGTCATCCGAGCATAGCAACAAGACGGGGCCGGCGGAAGGCGGTCACGAGCCTGACACAGAAATGGGGAAAATCTACGAGCTATGTTTGAACCGAATCCATCTCAAGCCAGGTGCTACTGCCGTTGAACAAAAGCAGCAGCACACGGACAAGAATAGCAACAAGAAGACATTCAGTTTACGAACACAAGGTTAATATATATCCTGTGGTTCGGATTTATGAGAAGTGATTGTCAACAGAACTTGCGTCTTGGGATGAGTCGGTGAGTTAACCATGGTGTGAGTTGGATTGTGTAACATGTCTCTTGACTCGTGGTGTGCAGATGTAGAGCTCAGAGGCGGTGGTCGACGGCGAGGTGAAGATCAAGTAGGGACGTGCCGTGCCGATAGACCGGGAGCGGTGAAGGACGGGCATGAAGCTTGGACCGAGGGACTAGGAGGCCAGGTGGCTAGCCTCGGTGGCTGACATCTGGGGACATCGACAAGCGCAAGTGTATAAGGAAGTGACCGTGTTGACCGAGTTAAGACGGCTTTCGAGCGGGGCTCAGGAAGACTTGGTGGCCGACCGGGAGAGGACGCTGGTGACATGCGTTGAGTTGTGGGGGACACATATGGAGTACGCTACTCGCGGACAGTTTGGTGGGTTGAGCCTCAAAACCACCGGGTGGACGGTTTTCGGGTTTGGGCCTTAAAACCCGGGCGGAGGTTCCGAGGAGGAACGGACGGCACGTGGCGGCATCAAGGAGTTCGCGTCGAGGTGAAGCTATCTCATGAAGGGCGCAGTGACCGTCGGATGAAGACTATCTCGGGTTAGACCATAACGCTCTCGGGTTAAGTGGTGCGACTCAAAATATCTAGGGGCGTGTTTGGGATTGTGTAATAGCCCGGTTAAATAAGGATGAGGGAGCCCCAATCTACCTCACCTCTTGCCACTCTCATTCTTCCACCTATCTCTAGGTTTTCCCTCTCTAGGTTCTTCTCAAGTGGTCCACCAATGAACTAGTGTCCCGGTGTAATTGAATCTGTGTTTTTGGTTGGGAATGGAGGCCCTAACCTCCTCGTGTCCTCTAGGATTCGATTTTGTGAGCTGTTTGTGTGAATCGCGTTTGTGTTCTCCGCGTTCTTGTTTTTCCCCTTCTTGTTCTTGCCTCGTTGAGGTCGTTTTGATTCGTTCCTTTTGCACAAAGATGAACTAGGACGTGAGTTGAGTCTTTCCATACAAGGATTTCATATAATTCCTCACGAGTTCATCGATCGGGACGAATCAAACTCTAGGGTTGGAAAACCAGTGTTTTTCGCATTCTTCTAATTTCCGTTGATTGGCTTCAAATTGGGTGATGACCTCCTAGAGGTAGCTCATCTATTGCCTTTTGACCATATGGTTAAAATTTGGTGGCAATTGATTTTGATTTAGTCGCAAATCGAACGGATTTTGGTTGGAGGCGATTTTCGGAAGATCTGTTATGTGCTGTTTCGCGACTCCCAGACAGTCCGGGGTTTATCCGCGGACAGTCCGCCACTCGGGTTTTAGCCTCGTCCAGAACCTGTTTTTCAACTTCGTTTTTCGCTGATTTGAACTGCGGACAGTCTGCCCCTTGGTCCCGGACTGTCCGGCGTTCATTTTTTTTCCAGCTTACAGAATATGTTCTCTCGGTTTGGTTTTCTGATTTTTGAACTGCGGACTGTCCGAGGTGTTGTAGCAGACAGTCCGCCGTTCCCTGTTTTGTGCCGAGTTCCGTCTTTTGCGTTGAGTTTCTAGCGATCTTAGGGAACTTCTCTAGGTTCTCTTGACACCCGGTGGCTCGTGTTTTTATAGCTTTTGGTCGTGTGCCTTTTGGGGGTCGATTTTGGGACAGTGGTCGAAAGTTTTGAAAGAAATTTGAGGCTCCCGTTCACCCCTCCTCTGGTCGCGGTTTTGGTCCTTCGCATTTTCTCAAGAATAGCTGAACAAAAGCTACTGCCGCTGAATCCATCTCAAGAGAGTTTCACAAGACATTCAGTTTCACTCGGATAAAGTACTATGGGTGTCTCCTAATACATATAAAGTGCAGAATGCAGGTAAAGTGCAGGTTCAGGTCACAGATATCACAATTAGATACAGATAAAAAAGCTGAGTGCCTCCATCATGGCCAGAAACAAGAACATGCCCTAGAAATTCACGGATAAGACCTGAAATTCACACACAATTTAGAACCTGTTGGGTAAGACCTGAAATTCACAGACAATTTAGAACCTGTGCATATCAAAATGACCATAGACCTTATGTTACTGTGCATTTCAGTTTCACATTTTTGTTATGTCTCTGTCTTTCAGGTCATCATAATGCTTCCCATCAGGTGCTACATTACTGAAAACCATCAGACTTTATGTTACTGTCTACACTGCTGGATGTTAGAGGCCAAGTCATTTGCAAGGCCTACATCACCTCTACTTCTATTTCATTAGAAAAAACAACTGACAGAGCAATGCCTTCTGGAGTCTATCTCCCATTGAGGTCTGAAAAACAGAAACGTCAAGCATGTGCTGCTCAATTTCTACACAGAGAGCAAAGGTTCGTGAGCTGCATCTACATGTGACAGGGAAACTCTGTCTGTAGACATCCAGCATGTATGAAACAGCTACTTGCACGTATTTGATCGCAAAAAAAAAAACTACTTGAAGGCATTTGTCTACACTGAAATCAACTACTTGGATGCATCAATTTCTACATCTCTACACATCGAAATCAACTGCTTACCATGGATTTGGGGCTTGTTGGTTTCCCTGTTGAGATGAAAAATTGGGGGTATGCCCCCCCATCCCGCTCCTTGCGGTGGCCGCGGCGGCACAGGCAAAGTTGGCAGCGCAGGTGAAGACAGTGGAGGCAGCGCAGGTGAGGAAGTCGCCGGAGCAAGTGAGGACGTTGAGGCGGCGTAGGGAAGGAAATCGGCATCGGCGGCGATGACAGTGACGAGGAAGTCGAAGGCAGCGGTAGCTTCCTCCTCTGCCGGAGCCGCGCCGCCCTGTGCTCTCCGCCGGCGCCGGATCTGCTTCCATGGGCGCACCATGAAGAGGAGATGGCTTCTGGCCTTCTGCACCTCTTTTTGTTGTCGAACAACGATTGGTCAGACTTTCCGGGCCCAGTGCTTGACACAGAAATGGGGTAAATCTGCGAGCTATCAGCCTGTTCGTTTCGGCTGAATTAGCTTATAAGCCATAGCTAAAAGTATTGCAGTACTACTTGCTGGTTTAATGTGAGAGAAAAATACTGTTCAAGCCATGGCTTATAAGCCAGATACGAGCAAATAAGCCAAAACGAACCGGTTGTATGTTTGAACTGAATCCATCTCAAGCCAGGTGCTACTGCTGTTGAACAAAAGCAGCAGTACACGGGCAAGAATAGCCAGACATTTGGCTTATGTTGATGCTTATGCTAATTCGTTGTTTCAGAAAAACGTTGTTCGTTCGCTGAAAAGTACTGCTTCAAGCGAACAGGTCCTCAGTTTCTCGAGAATAGCTGAACAAAAGCTACTGCCGCTGAATCCATCTCAAGAGGGTTTCACAAGACATTCAGTTTCACTCAGGTTACTATGGGTGTCTCCTAATACATATAAAGTGCAGAATGCAGGTAAAGTGCGGGTTCAGGTCACTGATATCACAGATTAGATACAGATAAGAAAGCTTAGTGCCTCCATCATGGATTCATGGCTAGAAACAAGATCATGCCCTAGAAATTCACGGATAAGACCTGAAATTCACACGCAATTTAGAACCTGCTGGGTAAGACCTGAAATTCACACACAATTTAGAACCTGTGCATATCAAAATGACCATAGACCTTATGTTACTGTGCATTTCAGTTTCACATTTTTGCTATGTCTGTCTTTCAGGTTGTCATAATGCTTCCCATCAGGTGCTACATTGCTGAAAAACATCAGACCTTATGTTACTATCTACACTGCTAGATGTCACAGGCCAAGTCATTTGCAAGACCTACATCTCTACTTCTATTTTATTAGGAAAAAAGAGCTGACTTGTCAATGCCTTCTAGAAGCATGTGCTACTCAATTTCTACAGAGAGAGCATAGGTTCATGAGTTGCATCTGCATGTGACAGGGAAACTCTGTCTGTAGAGACATCCAGCATGTATGAAACAGCTACTTGCAGGCATTTGATCGCAAAAAAAAGCTACTTGCAGGCATTTGTCTACAATGAAATCAACTACTTGCATGCATCAATTTCTACATCTCTACACATCGAAATCAACTACTTACCATGGATTTGGGGCTTGTTGGTTTCCATGTTGAGATGGAAAATTGGGGGTATGGCCCCCATCCTGCTCCTTGCGGTGGCCGCGGTCAAAGTTGGCGGCGCAGGTGAAGAAAGTGGAGGCAGGGCAGGTGAGGAAGTCGTCGGAGCAAGCGAGGCCGCTGGAGGCAGCGTTGGGAAGGAAATCGGCGGCGGCAGCGACGACAGTGACGAGGAAGTCGAAGGCGGCGACGACGTAAGCCTGGACGCCATCTTGCCGCTGCGCTGGCTGCCCCCGCGTCCGTTTCCTCCTTTGCCGGAGTCGCGCCACCCTATGCTCTCCACCGGCGCCAGATCTGCTTGCTCGGCTCTGCGCCACATCAACCATGAAGAGGAGATGGCCGGCGCTAGATTTCCACCGGCTTGCTCGACTCTGCTCCATGGGAGGGGAAAGAGAGAGTCCAAGCAAAAGAATGGCACGAGCAGGCGGGAAGAAGGGGACGGAGGCGCGCCTCTTCATAGCCGGAGCACGGGATCGATGAAACGAAACGAAGCGCCTCTGTGCGGATGTTATCCCGTTTCCAACGACTTGCAAACGACGCTCGCTCATTTCATCCCCATGAAACGGTTTCTCTTCTCTCCCTTCGTTAATACGAAGCAAAACTCTATTTTTTTTTATGTGTCATCTTATTTAATGTCCATAAAATCCCATTGGCATCTTCATTGAGACCGCGGCCTAATAGAAGACCCACTCTGCTTCTACTGAGTATCTTGTATCTTTTCTCTCGTTTATGGACCCATGAATCATTTTCACGCGTCTCCCCTCCCATGAATCATTTTGTAATGAAGTTTTATTGTCTATGCACGGCATTTCGCTGGTGGATATGTATATGAAGTCACATACAACCTGCATATAGCTTATTAGTTCGTTTCTTTAAAACTAAGGTGTGACATCACACGTCGAGACATAATACATACACGCACCGGTTTGGGTAACCCACTGTATATGTACTGCCTCTAGTGATCCCAAGACAGCTAGGAACAACTCGTTGGTGGTACTGGTAGCACTAGCTTGCCAGCTAGGAGGATCTTCGCAGATACGCCATGACGCCGATCCCAGTGACAAGGGCGGCCCCAGCGGCGACCCCGCTGTACGCCGCCGCCCACGCGTCCCGGCTGGACATGCCCACCGCTATGGCGGCGCCGCTGGAGGAGGCCACCGCTTTCCTACGGCCAGTGGTGCCGGAGTAGTCCAGGAACAGCTTCAGACCCTGCATGCTTGCCATGAATTGATCAGTCGTAGTCGGTAGTTACACACCGTCACCGACGCAAGGGCGGCTCAATTCAAAAGCATGCATGCGTGCCTTCCATCCGGCGAGCCTGGCGTGGTCCACCGCCGCCGCGAGGTCGTCGTCCGACGCCAGCACCACCTTGTCCCGGTCCTCGTCTTCGTACTGCACGCACGCACAAATTGCAGGCTTTGCAACTTATCCATGACTCGCGTATATCATGTACAAGCTCGTGTATATATACCAGGATTTGCGGTAGGCGGTCAGGGTCGATGTCAGCGCCGAGCCTTCGAAGGATGCAGGTCACCAGCGGCGTCAAGCTCTGGACCTCTGCAGTGCAGCACAAATCTCAATCACCGTGTCGGAAATGCTACAGTGCAACATCTCACACTGCACAGGTTAAAGGGTTACTCTGATGGAAACGCTGCAACGTTGGTAGTACCATACCACAGCTGAAGCGGTGCATCCGTCCTCGCCTGTCCTGGAGCTTGAAGGAGAAGGACGACGGGAACCCCGCCTCGCTGCCGCCCACGGAATCGTGGTGAACATCAGACATCATCTGGGACCTCGACGCCTCGCTGCCGCCGGTTAGTTCAACCAATTAACAGTGTCAGTCAACTACTGTAGTATCAATCAAATGAGAAAGGCCAGCAGACAGTGTATATGAGTTATGCTAGAACCGATCGAAAAGTTCAGAGCTCCTGCAAATAAACAACCTCATCTGGGACTGGGTGTCCGTCTCGTCGTCCAGGGGACCCAAGGCCATGGCGGAGTCCCAGAACCTCTGGATCATGGAGGCTGCCGCGTCGTCGCTCCCCGCACCGTCGCCACCACTGCTCTCCACCTGTCCCATTTTGTGCAATGAGTAGGCGGTAGGCATCTCCCACTACCCAAGTACCCAAATGCACAGTTAGCAACTATTCAGCATACGGATGAACAGAGAGCTTACGATGGAGATCGCGGCATGTGCGATGTCGATGACGTCAATAATTGAAATGATTGAGCCGTCTGCCAGCATGGATGCAATGGAAAAAATGTAATCAGGACTGAGGTTGGTTAATCAGATTCAGTATGTTTCCCTGATCATTCTTTTTCCCCTGAAATGAATGAAAAGGTGCACGTACCTCTGTCCATCACTGGAAGATGCAAGAACTTGCGCTCTTGCATGGTTCGTAGGGCGTCCAGTATAGGCATGTCAACCGTGGCACATTCAGGGTCAGGAGTCATAACCTGCAGTTTGCATTGCATCATATAAAAGAATGTTCACCTTTGTTTAATTAGCTCAATTATCACTTATCTAGTTGCGCAAACTAGTTCATGCATGAAACTCAGTTGTATTTACATACTTTCTCAACTGGAGTCGCATCCGCAGACAGGTTCTTGGCGATCACACGCATCAAGATATCCCTTGAACTGGCAGAGGCAAGCATTATATATGATGAGGAATTGAACAAGAACCAAAAAGGGTACCAACTTGAGTATAAATTCATAGCAATTCAAGAGAGCAATGCACATGAATTCAAGTATAAATTAAATCCACTGACGTCAGGATGCCTTGAGGCTTGCTCCCTACAGCCACCACAGCTGAACTCGCATGCACTTCCACCATCTTCTTGGTTGCAGAAAGAACCGAATCACCAGGTGACACCATGACGACTCTGTCCACAAGCTCATAGACATGAGGATGTCAATCCATACACTAGTCCATGAATAAATCTAAAGAAAATAATTTGTGCTCGAAATGCAAGTCCATGGATCAGAGGAAGGGTTGTTTAATTTAATTAACCAACGTTGAGTCTTCGTTGGCAATGGCAGACAAGCAGGGACTGAACATCTGCTCCTTGAGAGCTTCGACAATGGAGTACTTGTCGTCACCAGCCGCCACGTTGGCGATCGCCGCCTTCCCCTTCTCGGACGCCCTCTCCATCCTGGCAATTGCGTCGTAGAGGCACTTGGCGATGTCCAGCATGGCCACCACCTCGCCGTTATCCACCACCGGCAGGTGCCTGAACTTGCCTGATGCACGAAATCGGTCCATCGACGAGCATCCATGCACAAGAGAAGACATCGATCCACGCTTAGTCATGTCATGTGCACGGTCCTACACTCCGATGATGGAAAATGGAATTGAACACGTGCCTTGGACCATCTTCTGCAGTGCCTCGACGGCGAGCGTGTCGGAGAGGACGAAGATGGGGTGCCTCGTCATCACCTTCCACACGGGCGTCTCGTCGATCTTGAGCTCGCGCGCGATCACCCTCGTAGCGATGTCCTATATATAAATGGAACCCATGATCTTCGACGGTTTGGAGGAATTACTCAAAAATTTGTGAAAAAGGGGGAAGAACAGGGCCAGGACCAACCTTGTCGGTGAGGATGCCGCAGAGCAGCGCGTTGGAGTCCGTGAGCAGCGCGGCGTCGGCCCTGCGCGCGGCCATGCGGCGGCACACCTCCAGCACGGTGGTGCTCTCAGGGACCGTCAGCGCCCGGGACAGCCTCAGCCGCTTCACCGTGCGCTCGCCGCCCATGGTCCTGCATGCCTCGCGTCGGTCAGATATATGATCGCAGACACACTCGCGCGTGCGTGCATGTTATGTTCAAAGCATGCATGCATGTTACATCGATCGGGACAGCCTGGGCTTGGGGCTGTCGCTCATCACGGCGGCGGCGGCGGCGGCGGCCGCGCGGCGCCCCATGGCGCCGCCGCTCCCCATCGACAGCGTCCGCCGCGGCGGTGACATGCCGCCGACCATTGCTGCGGACGGACGGACGGGACCAATGATCGACTAGACAGGTACGTCGTGCGTGCGCCTAATTGAGGCCTGCCTATCTACGGGGACGTCGGAGGTGGCCCTTGCCTCCCGCGCTTTTTTCCTTCTCCAGGAAAAATGCTGTTTAAAAATTGCACGACGTACTCAGGGTGCTCCTCTCAATTATAACCTGCGGTTAACATGGGAAAGAAAGATGCACATATTTATTGATGATTGCTTCATATAAAAGTTTGAGTCTACACACATTGTCGATATATCACACTTCCATAATTAAATTTTCAATTATAAAACTGAAAAGAAAATTGTCACTTAACTAGAAATTGCGCCAACGGATGCTAGACCGGCTGGTCAAATGCTCCGGGTGGCACCCTCGCGGCCTGGGTTTCAATCCCCCACGGGGACGAATTGCAGTGCCAGAGGTAAAAAAATAAAAACCACGTCTGCCCCACATTACTCAAAGCACAGGTTTGTGGCACCGGCCTACACATAGGGGGTTTGTGGCACCGGCCCACTCACAGGGTAACGGCCCCTCTGTGTAGGAAGGGTACGAGATTCGGGGTTTTTTTTGGACTGGGTGAAGAGTCCTCTACCTTAATGCGAATGCTTGAGGGGCACATGCTATCCTCCGCAGTCTGAGTTTTTTTTAACTAGAAAATTGCCACGGTGGATCCCTTGCGACTCCGGTCTTGACTACTAGGTCCCACTTATCATCCTTCAGCGCTGTATCCCCCCCTTCTCCTCTAGGTTTGAGCAACTCGATGATGCAGACATTCCCATTGTCTTTGTGAGAGGTCGCTGCGGCAAATCACATGTGATGGTCCCTATGCCATTGGAGGTTGACGTCAATGCTTGGCTACAAAGGTGGAAAATCACTAGCAAAGCCGCTGTACGTCCACCTTCCTCGTCTAACTAAGCAGGACCATTGAGGCCCTCACCACCTCCACTACTAAGGATTCCATGGCCTCGTAGGTGGAGGATAAAGAAGGCAGAGAGGGGTGGGTATGTTGACAAAAAATGCAGTGCCACACTGATTTGAGTGCCGGAATAGAGAGAAGGGGAGCACGATGATGAAGCGCCAAGGACCAACCTGTGCTCTAGTGGGTCCTATTGGATCCTATGTCGAAGCTTGGAGTGCTTGATTCCCATTTAGACCTGGATTTGGATGACATCCTGTGACAAGTTTGATGACCTGAAAATGATATTCAACACCCTAGGATTGGTTTGGGAGCTAAAAAGTATCATTTTGAGAGTTTAGGACATGACAGCCAAATCAAGTTCAAGAAATGGCCTTGCATTTTACTCAACTAAATATATATAGCCTTAGTATCTTAATTTTAACTCTCACAATTTTAAAGAGGATTTAGAAATCACAAAAAAGACAAATTTCAAAAATCTAATTTGCATAGATAGGTTCTTAAATTTTAAATTTTGGTTTGGTAAAATAAAGTCCATGTCCCAGTTTACAACATAATGCCAAAAATATGTTCATGAAATTATAATTTTTTATGATTAAACAAATGTAATATTATAATTTAAAATAAATTTTAATGTATAGATTAAGGAGCTTAAAAGTTATAAATTAGAAAATTATTTATTTATGAAGTTCTTAGTTTGAAAAAGGCTATTATATTAAATTCTTACATGTTTCTTTGAAAAAGGGAAAAAGTTAAATGAGTATGATTCGGTTGCCTTGGTAATTTAAGGTCTACCTTGATAATATTTTTTAAATTCGACTAATCATATATGAAAAGTTTTGATGGAATGTGTAACTTAGATAAGAATTAAAGACTTTGAGTTCAAGATATTTGATTTTCAAAAAGTAAAATATGTAGTCTAATAAGAACATATATCACTATATAAATTCAAGGAATTGTGGTATATTGGTAAGAGCACCGAAGAAATATGGAGTTTCAAGGCTAAAATGAAAATGATACCAGCTTTATCAACCAAACCACCCTCATGTCTCTGCTTATAAATTTCAATGAATTTAAAACTTTTTGCTATTAAGTTCTTCATGCACCTTCCTTTTGCCTTGGTTGATAATTCCATTTTATAACGGTAGGTAAATCTAGTTGATATACTTTTATTCTCTCTTTCCTGTTCATAGATGATAATTTAGCTCTAAATTTTCTTTATTTCTCATTTTATGATTTGCAAAATAAAAGGTTTCTCAAATCATAATATTTGAAAAATATATACTCATATCTTTAATTGAAATAATGAGATTTTCCTAAAGTAGTTAGCAAAATTTCCCTTTATGTGATTTGAATTGGCAGAATTTACCTTTTCTACACAACGTATCTTAAAAATCATAAAATTTCCATATGACCTAGAAAGAAGATAGATTTATACGAGATTATAGAGATGTACGAGACCTACAACTTCTGTAGCTCATCAAAAATTTTTTGTTTGAAGCCATCATAGTGTCTACATAGTCGATAAAAAGTTCAGATCTATATCTATAGTTATAAACATTTTATCGATTATTTTGGCACCAAGATGGCTTTACATGAAAACACTACGAGCTACAAGGTTGTAGATATGGCCGATCTCTATAATTATTATATAAATTTTATCTCCATCCACGCTCATATAGAGAAGTTATAATTTTCTTTTTTCTAATATACGCTGTGTGGAAAAAAATCGGTTAAATGGAAAAATATGAAATTATAAACTATTGAATTGGTGCAATTTGAATCCGCCATTTCTGCTAATTTAGATTCAGGCACTTATTTTGCAAAAAAAAAAAAAAGTCCTTTAGCTCTCGCTTCCACAAGACCTGTATTAAAAACAAGTGAGGCCCAGTGATTTGTTGGGCCGGACCTTTTTGCACTGGCGACCGAAGTTTATTTTGCCGATCTGGACGTTATAGCGACATAGGCCGTCCACTCGCTACAAATATTTGAAGCCATGACAACTAACATCAATTCGACAATCAAGAAGAGGTATAGAAAGCGATGCTTATTTAAAAAAAATATAGCAAAAGGGCCTGTAGCCGTTGTTGTTAAAATAACCTTAGCAACACCTCAGGTCTTGAGTTCGACTCCCCGTGAGAACAAACTTTACAGGATTTAACGACGATGTGCGTGTTGTACTGTGTAGTCTAAGAAACATTAAAAAAACAATGTCTACTATAAAGGCGGAGAATCTATGATAGTAAGCAATCTGCAACAAATTAATAAATCAACCAATCCATGTATCTAAAAGTGAACACTAGGAGCAACAATCGTTCACAATAATCCACACTCTTGCTCTTCTCCATTCTCCACCCACAACATTGTGCACGTATGCAACTGTACGTGTGCACATGCATATATGACTCCAAAGTCCAAGCATACATATACATCCAAGCACCAAATAATTGTGTGTGTGTGCATGCCACGAGCTCATCCAAAACAACACACAGCCACCCCATGCACAATGACAAGGGCCACAGTTGGTGATGATGGAGCACATGCACCTAACCCCGCCCGGCGCGGTGCACTGTCTGTTTGCTTGGCCCCCCGTTACTGTTAGCTGGAAAGGAACTGTGGCGCAATTTCACTTGGGAGAGTTGGGAGATCCTTTTGATTGGTTTGGTCATGAGATGAGATGACAAAACGGAAACTATTTTTAGGGCAGAAAAAAACGTCAACTAAAATTGTTGAGATTACATTGATCTGTACCGCGGTTTTTTTCTTCTATGCGTGTGCCCCATGCATGATTTATATACTCCCTCCGTCTCCAAATAAATCAATTCCTAGAATCCGTAAAAAGAACAATAACATCTATAACATAAAATGAGCACCTTATGAAAAAATATTTTTATGATAAATCTAATAATACTAATTTAATATATAAATCTTAGCGTTTTTTCTAAAAATTTAACAAAATTTTTAAAAGTTTGACTTAAGACAGCTCTAGGAGAACAGAGGGAGTGTGTATTGTATGGGGCAATTAATTGATGCACCTCTGGTACGTTCTTTTGTACCAATGCATGGTGAGCAGACTTGTTTTGGCCCCTTTGACTTGCGTTCTGCTGAAATTGTGAACGTTAACTTGTAGTACTACGACCATAACGTTGATTTCAGGAATATAATAGGTTTTATTTAGGGGGAAAAACCAAATTATATATGGAAAATATATTTATCTTTTCAAGCATATATATACCTTACCTAGTGATAATCTTATGGAGTACGGCACTAGAGTTATGTATATTATGTTTTAAATTGTATCCCTTGAATGAACAGTTTAAATTCCTTCAAGAGAATTAGAGAAACTAAAAACATTCTAAGATCTGGAAGATATATATAAAGAAATCCAAAAGCTTGTGGGGAAATTAATCAAAGAGGTGAGGGTCAATTTGAAATGCAAGAATTACTCAACAATTTTACAGGGATCATTTCAATTTTACAGGAAAAAGACAGGAACATGAAAAAAATTCCTAGGTTCCAAACAGGGTCTAAATTTTGATGTTGATAAAAGGATGTTTATATTCTTCCTCCAAAGTGAGCCTTTACATAGAACTAGCAAACATGACAGTGCATTGCATAGAACCCAATACGTATGAGAATTGGACTTTATATCATCGCCGAACGTGATTTGTTCTAACTTGTATGACCATGGGTCATGAATCCAGACCACATATGGGGTACGGTAGGCGCGAGGACAATTTAGGAAGTAAAAAATGGGATGAAAAAAAGTGGCTTCGAAGAAACGGTAGCCTTACTCTTTAATGTATCAGTAGATATAGCAAGATATCTTAAGAAATAGTGAGCACATCCCCCCATTTCAAATATAGTAAACCCACTTAATGACTTCTTTCAGGACAGAAAGTTTCAGTTCCTTCAAGTAAAAGGAAACAATTTAGGATCTAGATCCACAGATGGTATATATTTTTCAGTTCAAGAAATTTATTATCGCTAAGTAGATTCTGTTCATCACAAAGTTATGGTGGTCTTAACAAAGAACACAGTTTAACAAATCCTAAGCCCATCCCTCAG